AAAAAAAAAAAAAAAAAACACAAGATCCTATTCCTATAAGGCAATTTTAGCAGTAAGGATGCGCCTAGCAAGTACATGGCTTTAAATTCAGTCCCCAGTACCACCAAAGGAAAAAATAAATAAAAGCTAATAAATTATTGGAAAAATGCAAGCTTCAATATGACAGGATAAATCCTAAGCTATTAACAATGTAGCAATATTAAGCTTACTTCTATTAGCTTTATTAGTAGTATACTTTATACTATTACTCACTTTTACAAGCTTTTCTAAATTTATAAAATTCCCCTTTATAATTTATTACATATAATTACCAATATACTTTTAAAATTTTAACGTTAGCCTATCTAAAAATAATATACTTACAAGTTGTCATGTCGAAAACGAACTTTACAACTTGGGGAGGGGGAGGACTGGGTGGGGAGGAGGGAGGATGGGAAGAGATGGGAAGGGTAAACAAAGGAGGAGGCTACAATGCTTAATAAGAAATGTACTCACTATCTTGCCCATGTAATTGTAACCCCTCTGTACAGTATCTTCACAATAAAAATAAAATTAAAAATATATATATATACTTTTCTTGGTAGTACTAGGGTTTGAACTCAAAACCTTGCTAGGCAGGCATCTAGCCCTTTTTTGCTTATACTTTTCACATAGGGTTTCCCTTTTTTTTTTTTCACGAATACATTAGTTTATTTCAGCAGTAAATTTGAAACTCTTGCCTTAGCTAGCAAGGGTACTACATAATTTTATCAGGAATAGATAATTTGCTACACTGTCAATATATAAAAGTTCTTTTGCACTTTCTTGAACACTGATCAACAAGCAGATTCAGTCCATATTGCTTTGATCTATCTACTGGGTTAGCCCAAGCTTCTTCTTCAGAGACTCTGGCATCTCAGGAGGAGGAGGGTGAGGGAGGGTCTCCCATTTTTGCCTGGGGCCTACCTTGGTCTGTGATCCTCCTACCTACGACCTCCCACCAAGCCTAATGATACTTATAAGACTTAAGGAAAAATAACTGGCTTCTAAGTTATTTATCTAGTATAATTTTTAAAATGAAGGAAAGGGCGAAAAGGAGAGGAAGGGAGAACAGTTATAATCATTACAAATAATGTAAGTTACATGATAGAAATAACTCATAAGCATGAAAAATATCAGCAGCCACTTCCATCAACTCACCGAAATATAGGGGTGTGGCCAGGCTTTGGTTTGCTCCAGGTAAAAGGTGAAGGAACTGAAAGAAACTGGTCACCAGATGAATCTTTCTTTAAAGGATACTGAGATCCGAGGCTATCATCTATTGAAGTCTCCCGGGATGGTGATAAACTCCCTTGATCATCTGAACAGAGCTCTAATTTTCCTGGTAGTATGGCAGCTTGATCTTCGGAAGTCTTCCTTGTTTTCAAAGGGATATCAGTCTCTATACAGTACTGAAATGGAAAAAGTGCAGGGCCAAGGCCTGACCCACTGTGTACAGAAGCACTGAGCCAGGTATCTTCTGTTATACTTCCTCTAGGCGAGTGACCAGGAGAAGGAACTGGTGAGTGATGTGGTGAAAGGGAACCAGCATAACAAACTTCCGCACTGGAGTGCCGCCGTTTCCCACAGGGAGAAGTGGGCCTGGATGATGGTCCTGAGGCTGGCCTGGGACTCAACCAATTTTCATCAGTGATACTGGATCTAGGAGAATGGCAGGGAGATTGTCTGGGTGACAAGGAGTGTCCAAGTCCATACTGTTGATGCCAGGACTCTTCTCCAGGGCAACCCCCTGGGGAGCCACCTGGAGAAGTCAGAGGAGATCCAAGAGTAAACCGGGAAGCAGCTTCATTCAACTCTGAGTCCACGTCATCATAAATGTGTGAAAGAGATTCACAAGAAGATGCATCTGAGAACCAGCTTCTAGAAGAAATGCTGCTGGCAGGACTAGGACTAAGGGAAGATTCTCGGTAGGATGGCTCAAGAGGAAGATATAGATGATCTCTAGAAGGTCTTTCCAAATATTCCCTTTCTGGGTCATTTATATGTAGGTCATCTTCATGTGTATCTGTTTCTTGATGACAGTTAGGAGAGATGGATGTAATTTGAATACTTGGGCACTCAAAGGGTTTGGGACCACCTAGTGAGCTGTATTTAGATTCGGCAATATCACCAGTTCCTTCATAATTTTTGTGACCTTGAAGCTGAAAGGACGGTGACAAAACAGAAGAGTGAGACGGTAATCCATGATGTGGTAAGCAAGGCGATGAGTTCAAAGTAGATGGAGGTGGATCTACATTAAAGATGTAAATGGATTCACAATCATCAGGCTCAAGATCTGGAAGGGGAAGGCAGCAAAAAAAAAAAAAAAGTCAACAAAACATGAAAATGTATAAATTTACTAAGAAAATAATCTTGGGGCTGGGAAGGTGGCTCAGTGGTAGAGCGCTTGCCTTGCATGCATGAGGCCCTGGATTCGATTCCCCAGCACCACATAAGCAAAAAAAGCCATAAGTAGCGCTGTGGCTCAAGTGGTAGAGTGTTAGCCTTGAGCTGAAGAGCTGAGGGACAGTGCCCAGGCCCAGAGTTCAGGCCCCAAAAAAGAAAAAGAGAGAGAGAGAAAGAGAGAGAGAAAGAAAAAAGGAAAAACAGACAGACAGACAGACAGGAAGAAAGAAAGAAAGAAAATATTAATCTTGAGAAGAAATAGAAGTAAATGAAATGTATGTCATTAGCTCCACTAAAGGGTTATTTGAATGAATCTATTTTCTTCTATACACACACACATATATATATATATATATATATTACTTTATATATCTATTTTTCTTTTTTATCCCTTAGCTTAAGAATGCATATCATAAAACATGGTCTGAAAATAATGAGTGCTTATATAAAAGAAATAGTCAGAGCTGGGAATGTGGCTTAGTGATAGAGTGCTTCCTTGGCATGCATGAAATCCTGGATTTGACTCCTCAGTACCACATAAACAGAAAAAGCTGGAAGTGGTGCTGTGGCTCAAGTAGTAGAGCGCTAGTTTTCAGCTAAAGAGCTGAAGGACAAGTGCCCAGGCCCTAAGTTGAAACCCCAGGACTGGCAAAAAAAAAAACAAAACTGAGCTTTACTCAGAATTTATAGGTTAAAGTGGAGAAAAAGACAAAGTCTTTGAAAGGTAGATTGTTTTTGTTTTGTTGTTTGTTTTGCACTGGAAACTGAACCCAGGGGCCGTGTATGCCAAGTATGTGCTGAACTGAACTGTATCTCCAACCTGAAAGGCTATCTTTTTAAAAAATGTGTGTTGTATGAATGTATGTATATAACATATAAATATACACAAACAATACACATATACATATAAACTAAACATAATTTATACACACATACTCAAGGTTTATTAACAAAAAGGGTCCAAAAAATCAGGTGATCTAGAATCTAATCTACCACTACCATTAATTTAGGCTCTTAGTCACATCATTTAATCTCTGTAGGTCTCAGTTTTCTTGCAGTAATATTCAAAATTACTCTTTTCCTTCAGAATATTTTAAAAATATATTTATTTACTTATTTCAGTCATGAGGCTTTAACTCAGGGCCTGGAGGCTGTCCCTGAGCTTTTTTGCTCAAGACTAGTGCTCTACCACTTTGAGCTATAGTGCCACTTTTGTTTTTCTGGTGGTTAACTGGAAATAAGAGTCTTACCACCTTTCCTGCCAGGGCTGGCTTTGAGCCACAATCCTTAGATCTCAGCCTCCTGAGTAGCTGGGATTATAGTCACTGACACCTAGCCAGATACCTTTATTATTCAAATCAACATTTCTTCCTCTTGTTTGGGGGCTGGGAAGGTGGCTCAGTGGTAGAGTGCTTGCCTTGCATGCATGAGGCCCTGGGTTCAATTCCTTAGCACCACATAAGCAAAAAGAAAAAAGCCAGAAGTGGCGCTGTGGCTCAAGTGGTAAAGCACTAGCCTTGAGCTGAAGAGCTGAGGGACAGCGCCCAGGCCCAGAGTTCAAGCCCCACGACCGGACCCCCCCCAAAAAAATTCTTGTTTGTTCATAGTGGACCAGTTTACAAAAACCACAGGATACCACTAGACTCTTACATGAATAGGAAACAAGTCATCAGGGCTTTAAAAAAAAATGGGGAAGTGGCTCTGTGGCTCAAGCAGTAGAGCCGTTGCCTTGAGCTGAAGAGCGCAGGGACAGCGCCCAAGACCAGAGTTCACGCACCATGACCAACAATAAAAACAAAACAAAACAAAAAAAGTTTGTTAAAAAAAAATGGGAAGGGAGGAATGAGAGGGAACAGCCTATGCTAAGCAAAAGGAAAAAAATGTAATCATCACCTGATGTGGAAGAAATAATTTGTACTGTCAAAGCTCATAGAATTCACAAACTTTATAGACCATGATAATGACAATTTGTCTTGTAAAGGTTAAAATGGGTTTGTGACTTTAACTAAGTATTACTATTCCACAATACTGTGAAATATGTGAAATGAATGTAATCACCTAATCTCAATTTAAAAAAAAGAAAAGTGATGGGTTAAGAGCAATGGGAGACAATGTTGGCAGACACCTTGTACTCATATACTGTTTTGTAGAATGGGAACTTCTTTGTACAACTAGTTACAGATATAATAATTTAAAAAATGTAAAAAAAAAAAAAGTTTGTTCCCAGAGCTTGAACTAGGACCTTGTGCTCTTCCTTAATTTTTTTGCTCACAGCTGACACTCTACTACTTGAGCCATGGTCTAGTCCAGCACTTTGCTGGTTAGAGACATTTTCCCAAAAAAGTTATGTAATAGACAAAAAATAAATGATATTGCCCTTACTAATCATCAGAGAAATGCAACTAAAAATCATAATGAGAAATCACATCACATCCATTACGAGGGCTACAACTTAACAAAAAAAGGAAAATGAAAGCTGGGCACCAGTGCCTCATGCCTGTCACTCTAGCTACTCAGGAGCTGAGATCTGAGGATCACAGTTCAAAGCCAGCCCGGGCCAAGAAAGTCCCAGTAAGACTCTTATCTCCAATTAACCACCAGAAGACTGGAAGTGGTGCTGTGGCTCAAGTGGTAGAGCACTAGCCTTGAGCTGCAGAGCACACAGACAGCACCCAAGCCCAGAGTTCAAGCCACACAACCGACCAAAAGAGAAAAGAAAGAAAGAAAGAAAAGAACAAATGTTGGAGAAGTCTTAGAGAAATTAGAAACTTATATGCTATTGATGGTAATATTGTGAAAACAGTTACCCTGTAATCCCTTGGGAAACAGAAGAAAGAGGATCTTGAGTTCAAGGCCAACTTGAGCCTCATAGTAAGACCTATCTCTGTCTCTGTCTGTCTGTCTCTCTCTCTCACACACACACACACACACATACACACACACAGAGGAATTTTTGAGCCAGACACAGTAGCACACATCTGTAATTCTAGCTGATCAGGAGGGTCATAATTGGAGGCCAACTCAAGCAAAATATTTGGAAGACCCTTTCTCAATCAGTGTCTCATGCAAAGCATCCCATCTATAAAGAAGACTGAGATCAAGAGGACTGGTTTCATACCACTTGGGACAAAAGAAGTTTATGAGACTCCAACTAAATGGAACGAGTTGGGCATAACAATATGTGTCAGTCATCTTAGCTATTGTAGAAAGCAAAAAAATTAGGATTAAAGTCCAAACGTGAGGGCTGGGAAGGTGGCTCAGTGATAGAGCGCTTGCCTTGAGCTGAAGAGCTGAGGGACAGTGCCCAGGCCCAGAGTTCAGGCCCAATGACTGGACCCAAAAATAAAAAATAAAGTCCAAACGTGGGCTAGAGCAAAAAAGTGCAAAAAAACTTGCAAGTGTGGTTCAGCATTAGAGCATCTGCCTAATGAGAAAAGCTAGCACCACCAGAACAAGAAAAAGTAAGAAAGAAAAAAATTCATATAACTCAGCAATTCTATTTTTGGGTAATACATTCAAAAGAATTGAAAGCAGGACTGGGAATGTGGCTTAGTGGTAGACTGCTTGCCTAGCATGCATGAAGCTCTGGATTCAATTCCTCAGTACCACAAAACCGAAAAAGCAAGAGGTAGTGCTGTGGCTCAAGTGGTAGAGTGCTATCCTTGAACAAAAGAAGTGTCCCAGGACTGGCAAAAAAACAAAAATTCAAAGTAGAGTATCAAAGAAACATTAGTAAAACTGTAAGTAGCAGTATTATTCATAATATCTAAAAGGTAAAAATAATCCACTTATCCATCATCAGATAAGCAAAAGGTGATGTTATTTCCAAAAACATATTACTCAACTATAAAAAGGAAGAGATTTCTGACATAAGCTACAACATGGTCAAAACTTTGGAAACATACTAAGTAAAATAAGACAAGCACAAAAAGATAAATACTATATAATTCCAATTATATGAGGTACTTAAATAGTCAAATTCATAAAGACAGAAAGTTAAATGGAGTTGCCAAAGGCTGTGGTGATGAAAAATGGGGAGCTGTTAAAAATGGGAGAGTTTTAGATAAAATTTCATAAGGCAGGGAGTCAGTGGCTCATGCCTATAATCCTAGCTACTCAGAGGCTGAGGTACGGGTAGGAAGCCAGCCTGAGAAGACAAATCTGTGAGACTTATCTCCAAATTAACCAGCAAAAAGCTGAAACTGCAGGCATGCAGGTTCAATGTAAACATCTTATGCTTTCCTTCCCAATTTTTCATACAATAATGTTCTTAGCTTTAGCTGAAATATACACTGTCCCAACTGTTGTCTATTCCTAAGTTGAAAGTTACAGGAACTTGTCCCAGGATCTCTTCGTTTTTCTGGCTGCCACCAATAACAACTCAAAAAACTTATTTTATTGACTTCTTTTGGTTTGACAGCTCCCAAAGTAGAAGGGATAAAAAGTCAGATTTCGGCAAATGGCAGAATAGACAGAAATCACTGGATATGAGAAAATAGTCAAGGGCTGAACATATGGCTCAAGAGGTTGAATATCAGCCATTAGCAAGGAAATCATGGGGCTCTGGAGGAAAACAAACAAGCAAACTGCAAGTCAGGTAGGACACACCAAAGTTTCCTGAACTATTAAAAGAATGGAATTTCAAGCTGGGTGCTGGTGGCTCATGTCTGTAATCCCAGCTACTCAGGAGGCTGGGATCTAAGGATCGTGGTTCAAAGCCAGCCTGGGCAGGAAAGTCCCTGAGACTCTTCAATTAACCTCCAGAAAACTGGAAGTGATGCTGTGGCTCAAAGTGCTATAGCATTAGCTTTGTCTGCAAAAAGCTCAGGAAACAGTGCCCAGACACTGAGTTCAAGCCCCAGGACTGACCAAAAAAAAAAAAAGAATGGA